GTGGATAAATCAGCTCGGTCGATGCCGATAAGAGAGCATAAAAAAAGGTTGCTATAAGCAAGCACCACACTTCAACTATAGCTTAGGAACGCTACACCAGGGCGCGGTTTCGGTCACTGCCATACAAGGTTATATTGCGTCCGGTTAGATTGTTCCAGTATTTTATCGGCTGGCACAAACGATTCGGCGAACGAGAGTCAAGTTTCAAAAGACCGGACGCTCGCTGAAATTCTTTGATGTTTCAAGGTGTTGCTTGCTGCTTGTCCATTACGATATGTTGCAATTGCTTAAAAAGATGAAAGATGTTGTAAGGTACAGGTTTTGTGAACAGACTAAGCGGACTAGAAGTCAAGAACTGATGAAATTATTAATTGTTTGAACTTCAGAATATAGTTGGGAAATGAGAACTATATTGATTAGGAAATCTAGTGTGGCTCCTTTTTAGCAGAAGTAAGGCAGCAAAAGGACTCTTTGCCTTGCAAATGAAGTGAAGGGTGGAATAATGAGCTTACAGTTTTGACAGGGAAAATTGGGTTAAGTTAATCTCCGAACTAGTTGGTGAGTAACTTTGTGGCCGAAAGTGAGTAGGGCGAAGGTTGAAGAAACTTTGGGAATTAGACTGGTAAAAAAAGGGATGCAGTTCGTGAAACATCATAAGTTAGCAAGTAACTTCTGTAGCAACAAAGAGTCAGACACTGGAAAACCTGTAATAAGCGCAAAGGTGAAAAAAAAAGTACGCAAAATTATCTAGGAAGCTGCTTGTCTTGTACTATCGCCTCGACAAATTGAAATCTGCAAACCTGAAGGACAGGTGAAGGTTTAAAAATTCAAAACCTTGCCTCCTTTGTCAGAACTTAATTTTCTAGATCATTCTGAATAAGAAAACAGGAGCAGTTTTGATACTCAGTTTCAACACCATAAAAAACTTTTTTTGGAAATCAAGGCCATGTTAGTGACAGTGTTACGTGTAAGGTTCCCAGTGCTAAGCCAGTAACTTTTAAGCCAAAATCTCAAATTTCTCCGTACTTTGTAGAACAACGGAGCTTCCGTACTTGGGGGCCATATCGAATAAGACACCGTACCGGCCCAAGTTTTTGCTCCCTGCACTTCTTGAAACTCTAATTTCCTTTTCCCAAGTTGCAAAATTTGTAGGGGATTCTTATTTTTAAAGGAGCCGTATAAGTGGTTCTGCGAGTTCTTTAAGAGGCATGTTTTGTTGAGAGATTTGGCTTTGCAAAATGCAGTAAAATTTATCGTTGGGTCATCAATTAAAAGACAATTTACAAAGAGAATGAAGTGAAGTTATGAAAACTGTAGTGAAAAATTGAAATTCTGCGTTTGTGGCTTTGAACGGCCAAGTCGGCATCCTGCATTATCATAAGTGAAGGATGATGATTCTGAACTCAAGCGAAATGGTGAATAGCTGATGTGACGCATGACTGACAGAATTAAGCATTCAGCAGCGACTTTAAGATTTCGCCTCGCGCAGAACAGTCCGATGCAAGCAGTATGGCATAAAAATTGGAAAATATTCTTTAATTTGCATCCTTCATATATCCTAGGTCTGCCGAGAAAAACTTGTGACTAGTGACAATCCGTTCCAAAAACTTGTAAATTTCTCGGTTTTTAAAAGATTTTTTCTATACAGCACTACGACCTCCGACATTTTTAACAGCCAGAAGCTAAAGAATCTTGTCAAGGTCCTTTGCTTTCGAGGCGATTCTGAAATACGTAACTGTCCTTTGTCTTTCCCTAGTGTCACTGTTAATTCTTAAGTGATGGCATTTAACTCCGTCCGTGCATTTGTGAGCAGCAGCCCGTTATTCAACCTGAGTTGTTCTCCCAGCTAAGATTTGTTTCCATAGCTCATATTATAGCTTGTACACCGCTTGAATCAAAATATATTCTCGTGAACAACATTTTGATTTTCAACTAAGCAGTTTTCTGATTTCTACATTATAATCTTTTGTCCAATAACTGTGTAAAAGTTCGTAGATCGTGAGCTTTTCATCGCAGAGTATAGATTAAGTAAGTGCAGCAGAAATCATAAACCTTATTTTTATAAAGATTGCGATTAATT